TTTCCTGTCTCATCAAGATGTCATCACAGATACAGGGCCCTGGTGCCACCATAGAGTCAGTAGGCAGGCAGCTGTCCTACCTTGCTCCCTGCACACCTGTACTCTGGTTTGCTGAGCCAAGCACATGTCAATGGCTTCCATTATGGAGGTCAGGTTTGGGGACACTTCCTAGAGATAAAAATTTAATGTTATGTAATAACATTTGGCTGTCAGGAGAGGTTGAACATCATTCAGGTAACAAATTTATAGTGTGGGCCATGGGCCAGGCTGTACGTTAAATGCTAGAATACAAAGTTGGGTAAAATAGACCCACAGAGAAATAAGTGGAAATTGGATTATAAAATAGGCATTTAAAAAATCTGTGTTAAAAATGAAATTGGATGTTGCATTTGGTGATGTCCTCTAAAATTTCGGCAGGAAAAGATCTAATAGTTGGGATGAGAGGTGGGTTTGAGTCGGAAGGAAGAGAGGTGGTGACCTCTGCTGAATGTAAGACCAACTTGGTACCTAAGGCTTTTCCTTAGGTGCACACGTTCATCCTAAGGCTTTTCCCTGTGTGTTTCTAAAGTTAACTGCAGAAAACAAATTTTGAGGTCTTATTTAACTTATCTCCTGCCCGTGTCTCTTCAGGCCCCAATGGCCATATCCCCAGTTGAACCTGGTGACCATCAGTCGCAGGACTTTATTTTTTGCTTATAACCTTTATTAATCACCTTCTTACTTTCTCACGACCTGGGTGCTTAAGCAGCTGACTGAATAATACTAATACTAATACTTGGGGTTCATGGCAGATACATACCACCATTTAATTGTTGTTTCCTGATTTACGTATAACGCCAGAAAAGTCATACAAGACAATTGCAAGTGTCTAATGTTTACAGTTGTGAACTATTGAAAAGACATACTCATTATTTATCTGAGGGGGAGAATGTAAAGTGATTTTAGAATTGGACGGGGCCTTATGGATGGAGAAAGAATCACTCCTTTTAGAAGTGAGGAAAATCGGGTCTGGAGTCATTTGCTTGAGGTTACAAAGCTGGAGACTATAGAAGAGCAATGGGGAGAGCTCGATGCTGTCTTGGCTTTAATGCTGTGTTCAATCATCTAGAAGCCTAACTGGCGAGGAGGGGGAGGCGGCGGCGGCCGGAGGCGGCTGGGCAGCAGAGGGATGCTGGTATTGGGGAACTCTCATGGTCCCAGGCACAGGCTCTGCTGCTCTCCTCCTTTTTGGAGGCCACCTGAACTAGTGAGGAGTGGGACGTGTGTGACCAGCGTGCCCGGGGCAAGCGGGCGAAGCCTCCCGGAGGCTGAACCCAAGTTCATCGAGCCAGGGCGGGCCTCTGTGTGCACTCAGATGCTGATACAGAGCGCGTTTGGGGAGCTGCTGGCGGCATGGGGCGGCAAGGGCTGAGCCGGGGGCGTGGCGGGGTGGAGAAGAGTGTGTGTGGGCTCAGGCTTAGAGCTGCACGTTGTGGCAAGATCGCCGTGGTCGTGAGTGCGTTGGAGGGAGGAGGGACTGAGGCTGGGGTTGGGTGTGGGGCCAGGCAGGAAACTTAAAAACCCAGCTGAGAAAGGTAGATGATGTGAATAAATACAGACAATCAGACAGAGAGAATAAAGGGGATTTTAAAATGCCCTGGAGGTGAGCTAAATGGAGGGAGCGAGGGGGAGAGAGAGGGAGAGATTGTGTGTGTGTGTGTGTGAGAGAGCTCACTGTAGGTGAACTCATAGAGTGAGAACAGAAACTTGGTGTCAGAGGTTATATTAGTCTGCCAAGGCTGCTGTAACAAAGTACCACAACCTGGGGGGCTTAAACAACGACAATTTATGGTCTTAGTCTTGGAGGCCAGAAGTCCAAGATCTAGGTGTCAGTAGGCTGGTTCTTTCTGAGGCGGTGAGGGAAGATCTGTTCCAGCCTCTCTCTAGCTTCTGGTGGTTTGCGAACAATCTTTGTTGCTCCTTGGCTTATGAATCTCTGCCTTCATCTTCACAAAATTTCCCCTTTTATAAAGACACCAGTCGTGAGACTAGGGGCCCATCCCACCCTGGTATGACCTCATCTTAACTAATTACCTCTGCCAGGGCTTTATTTGCCAGTAAGATCACGTTCTGAGGTCCTGGGTGTTAGGACTTCAGCATGTACATTTTGGGAGGACGCAGTTCCCCCGAGAACAGAGGGGATGGAGGACTTGCGTGCATTGAATGTTGCTTTTTTAGGTTTTGATAATTAGCATCGTGGTGATTTGTCTACCACCAGGCCTGGGCGGGGATTTAATGATGGCGAGGTTTCCCAAATACCTGCTGGATCACCGGGGATCCCAGGCCTTCCTGGGGGGCCCCTGGAGCTCAGCCCTCATGCCCACCGAGAAACTCTGCTTCCCTCAGTTTCTCATCAGAGCAGGAAAGAGTCTGTTGCTGAAAGGATGCCCACAAAGTGCTGCCCAGAACAGCCCCACCACAGGAGGCCCCAGGAGCCCCAGCTGAATTGTGAAATTATGTGAACTGCCTTGAAATCACTTAAAGAACCCCAAGCACCAGTGTTTCCCGTGATTTGACAGTTCTAATACTCTACACTAGATCTTCCCTTCAACAGACGTGGTCTAAAGCGAATTGTTTCTCGGCCTGTTTTGCAGTGGCCGTCGCCCTGTCAGGAGCCCACTCAGATGAAAACTCCTAGACGGAGACACCTGGAATCACACAGGAAAAAATTTTAAACTTTTGCACAAATTCCCATTGCTTTTCCCTTGTTCCTCTAAGTGTGACTAGTCAGATCTCGAGGAATAAGATGTGAACGAAAAGGGTTTTCCCAAAATAAGGAAGAACAGATTTCCCTTTCAAACGCTGTTGTTTTTTTTTTTTAAAAGGTTGAATTCCGTTCATCTTGCCAAGAAATAGCAGGTTTCCAGCATCTCTTTTTTAAAAAGTTAAAATAAATAGGGAAATACTGTTGATGACTGTTGCAACTTCTGCAAATTCTTCTATTGTAAGTAGATTTATTACATGCTTAATGTATCTTTTATAAAAGCAAGAGATAACCTTTGGCAGAAATTTTGAATAACACTGGTAATTATTGCCAGTGGTGCGCCCCGTGGGCTGGGCACCCGCCCCCAGGATGTGGTTGTCCCATCTTAGACCTGGGGACACTGAGGTGGAGAGAGGTGAATAAGGAGGGCGAAGTCACCAGCTAGCATGTGGCAGCACCAGGGTCGGCACAGCGCTGGCCCAGCGTCAGAGTCATGTGGCCGTGTCACACGGCGGGGGCGGTGGGGGGTGTCCTGTTGTTGCCAGATGTTTCCTAGCTCATTTTATAATCACGGCAACCCAGCTGGGAAGGGGTGCTGTCCCCTTTTTACCCACGAGGAATCCGTGACTTGGGGTCATTTGCATATCCTCTTAGGGTGAGAGGCGGCCGGTGCTTGTCGGGCTCCAACATGCAGACTGTCCAACGTTCCGCCATCAGAGGGGCCTCTTCTGACCATTCTCTGGACTTGGCCCTCTGTTTTTGGTGATGGTGGTGAGGGGGATCAAAAGGAGAGTTTATCTGTTGGAAAGTTTTCTTCGGTTTTTAAAGTTTTGTTGCTTAAGCAAGTGCGTTTCCCTGTTACATCCGTGCCCACAAAGCAGTGGGAGAATGGGAGTCGACATGTGCACGTGTGTGTACTCACTCAGAAAGGTTAGTTCTCTAACCTGCCACCTCCAGCCTCACATAGCAGCCCATCTGGGGCACCTTGGACACTTCTTAGGGGAGGGGTGGGGTGTGGACTCTAGTTTCTGCTTCCTGAGTACTGGAATGGCCCAGACCCTGTACTCTGGGATGGAAGGTCCCCATAGTCAGAGAGGACCGCTATGGCAGAGAACCACATGTGGCTCTGGGTAGCAGAGAGCTGACACGGTGGGGGAGCCGCCAGAGCGGTTCTTCAGCGTCTAGTTATTTGGGATTTAGATGGTGTTTCTGGAAGGCATCTGTGCCAAGCAGCACAAAATGAGAGCAGGTACTGAATCAGTCCTCTTTCAAAAACATGAATTCAGAATCCCAGTGAGGGTTAACTAGAGTGGACTCAGAGCCCAGACTCTCGGAAGGCAGTTTGTCTTTGGAGAAAGCAGAGGAACCCAGAAGTGGACATATTTCCCACTGTTCAGGAGAGGGTCTGGCGGTCCGGTTGGGGATGCTATTGGGAGACGCACACGGCAGTTGTGTGCCCTCCCCACCTAGGCGTGTGACAGGCCAAGATATCTCGGGTCAGCCCTTGCCACCTTCACGTGGCCATCCCCTCCCTCTTTGTCCCCCGACGTTCCAGCAGGGCTCCCCGGTGGTTTCTTGCTAACCCAGCGTGGTCTCTAACGCCTCCTCGTCAGCCAGCTGCTCTGCTCTGTCTCGACTGTGGGAGATGCCATCCAGTAGTTTCTGTCTAACCCTGTGTGGTAGTTCCACATCCTTCCCTTACTTGTGAACTGTGAATCCGGAAACACCATTCCCATGATGTCCTCTGTTTTCCTTCCAAGAACTGGGTTTCTCTTGAGGAGAATACAGGTTCTCAGCCCTTGAGTTTATCAACCTGTTGTAGACAAGGCCCCCGTTCAGCACGAAAAATTGGTTTCAGTTTTGCGAACCCAACAAGAGAATGACGATTTCAGTGTTCTCTGTTTCTCAATACTGTGTGTCAGTGTTCCCAGCGGGAGAAAATTCCTGAACTGACACACAGAGCCCATGTTAAAATTCCACGCTTCTCAGCCACGAGTGCTCCTGGCATTGCACGGGAGGCTGCGTGTTCTAACCAGAAGTGCACAGGGGTTCTTAAAGACAAATATTGAAATCTGAGTTCAGTTCTTTTGAAATCCAGTGATTCCTGGAGACAGATCCAAAACCCACTCCTGAATACTCAGGATTGCCTCCAGGGCAGCAGTCTAGGGTGTATTTATCCACAAGCGAAGCCCACGTCTGTTCGCCCTCCTCCCGCCCTGTCTTTCTTGCGTAACGAGACTTTTTGTGTGTGTGGCAGGTGGCAGATTCAAGAAGGAGATTGTGGTGGACGGACAAAGCTATCTGCTGCTGATCAGAGATGAAGGGGGCCCCCCAGAGGCACAGGTGAGTACTACAAGCCAGCTGCCAACCAGCTTTAGACATCTGTTTCCTTGTTAAGGTTCCAATTCAACAGGTGGTTCTAGAAATCAGCCAGGTGTGCTCAAGGAAAGGTGACGGAGGAGCCCCGTGAAAATGTTTCCTATGACTGAGGTTTTTCTCATCTCTAAGAAACTAATTCTGTCGTTCCTTCAGACAGAATCCTAGAGGGAAGTTGGGTCTGTGTGGCTGATTTTCACTTTGTGTTTTTAAGAAGGAAGGAAACGCTGAATCTGCCCTGATTTGTGAACTCAGTTGAACCGACATCTGGAAGTTTCTAGTCTTTTTTTTTTTCTTTCCTTTTTCCTGTGTTTGATCTCGAGAGCGGTGGGCTCATTTAGAAAGTGGCGGGGTGGGATTTGGAAATCTGATCAACACTGCCATGCTGCTCGCAGGGCTTCTTGGCCCAAGAGGGTCTCCACTGAAAATCGGTATATGCAGCATAGCGTGATTTATTTGAAAGATCCTCAAAAGATGGAACAGAAAAAGCATGAGTATGGAAAACCTCTTTCTTTGGTTTACTTAATCTCCAGTTTATTCTTTTACTCACCATAGTAATTTACTAGCTAAACACTTCAAAGGAGCCAAGAGCTAGTCATAGTCAAGGACCTGTTAATGCAAACTTAATACTAAAAATTTCTGTGGCTTTCTTTCTTGAACTTATGTTTTTGTGCAAGTGAGACGTAGGATTATCAAGTGATTAAAGGGAAAGATGTTGGATGTAGGGGTTGTTAAAATTCTAGTGCTCCATACATTGGAAGGCTGTGCAGCTATTCAGAAAGATGTCATGGATTTCCCATGTTCTGTTAAACCTAAAGTGCCACTAATGGTAAGCTATACCAATATTTAAAAGAAAAACACTGCCAATTAAATTTGAAACAAGGCAGCCATAAGGTATGTTCTGATATCAAAGATGTTCAAGTGTGAAAAAAAAAATTTTTCTAACATTGATGAAACAGTATGCTTGATAATAATAAGGAAACATATTGAAGACGTGTTAAACGTGAACAAAAGTAGGTTACAAAGCTGTGAGAGCTCATGTTCAGTGAGCATCTATTTATAATTAAGCCGGGCAAGGTTTGCTGTGTGACACTGTCCTGAAGGTTTGTGATGGTGGTAAAAGCAAATAGCTCTTTCTTAGTCGACCTTCCACGTTTGGACCGTCTGTCCTGCTGTCACAAGGGGCTCTGATGCAGCTTCCCTCAGAGGCAGCTGGTAAACAGAATGAAAGAGGTCAAGTGTGGAAGTCCCCTGGGTTCATTTCCCATTTTTCCCAGCCTGTAAATGTTTTGGAGTCACCAGGGACAATTTCACAATTAAAGAGCAAGCCTTAGTGGTAGGTGGAGAACCTAAGGAAAACGTTGAGAAACCTGCAGAAATGCACGTCGGAGCTGGTTCAGTGGCTGTAGGAATTCTGCCTTCCCCAGTGTAAAGGTGTCCAGGGACGCTGATGTGCAGAGGGGGAGCACGAAGATATGGGAGTTTCCCCATATTAAACAGTGGAGGGTGGGAAGGCTGTCCTGGGCCAGAGTTTAATCCTGATGAGACCAGTCTCTGAAAGTAACCCCCAGATCCACGTTGGAGAGGGAGCTCCAGCCCGAGGTATTAGGGGCTCAGAGCACTGCCCACCCTGAAGAGTCGGAACATGTCATGGCTGCTATTAGGGTTGCCTCTTATTAAAAATTTTGGGGGGCACTCGTATTACAAACCCCATACCAAATGTTCCCCACATCCCCACACATCGACAGACAAACTCCCAGTATTTTGTCTCCAGTGATATTTTTCCTCTGAGAAGGATCTTTTCTCTACTGTCCATAGAAAATGTATCTTTTACATAGCTTCACATGCTTAGAACATGTGAGGTCATTTGATAAAGTAACATTTTCCTTCCTTTTAGTCACTATAATTAATGAAGGGGTTGCTTGAAGAAAAAAGAGTTAAGGCCTGTGACAGACAGTGGGATTCCTCTTGTGCGTTTCTTCTTCTGCCTCAAAAGCACACATGTTGTGTGCTGAATCCAATAATGCCGGGTGAGTGCCCCCCTGTGTGGTCAGCTCACTTAATCCTCTAGACCCCCCCACCCCCAGGGGAGGATGCTCAGAGCATTCCCATCTTCACAGGGGACACTGATGCCCTGAGATCTCACTCCAAGTTGGAGTTGGGGCACAGACCCAGGTGGTCTGCGTGCCAATGGCTTCACTGCTGGGGCTATAACCAGGACCCCCAGGCGATCTCCGTCTTGGCCTCTGGCCAGGAGAAAGTGTTGACTCAGTTTCCCTGAGGACCTGCCCTTTATTCAGGCCCACTTCCTTCAGAAGCCTTATTTAGCCTAGAAGCTTACCCTATTTAAAGTAAAGATTTATATGTTAGAGGATATCAGGATGGAGCCTGTCAAGATTATGGACAGGATTTTGTACAAAATTGGGCGGAGTGTTCTTGAACATTCAAGAAAAAATAAAACTGTTTTCAATTTACCATTCCTAGGTGTGTGTGGGCATGATGTTTGTTTTCATTATTCCATGTAGTCTACCCAAAGATCATGGCTTCATGGATGAAATCACAAGACTTTCTGTGGCTACTAGTGTCATCTTAGGGTAGTATAAACCCTGCTGATTAACTGGCTTTCTTTTCCAGCTGTTGGTGGGGGAAGCCACTGGGGTGGGGTGGTGTTTGTGGAGTGCCACCCCTGTTAGGTACTGGGGCGGTCAGAACACACCTTGAGAGAATGGGACGTGGTTTGCATTTCCTCTGCGGGGATGGTCAGACAGTTGTCAGCCTGGGTCTTGGGAGACGAGGCCTGGTCCCAGCGATGACAGGTGCTCTTAAGGTGCTCATGCGTGTGAGGAGGCTGACTTCTCCCACTTCTTGGAAGAGACAGGGAAAAGGAGATGCCCTCTCTGGGCCGGGGTCCTTGGGCTCTCTGGAGGCACATCCGGTTTTCTCAGGCCTGTCCCAAGGTTCTTGGCTCCTAAGTTCTCTCTCTCATTTAATTTTATATTTATCATTTGAACTTCAGATTTATGTAAGTTTCATCATGTAAAAATTTCACATATAACTGAATACACTTTTCATTATCTGGAAGTCTGAACTTAACCCACTCAAAATTTCCCCAAATATTTGTATGAGAGCTGATGCCTTGGCTGTAAAAACTGCAGCTTCTTTTAGAGAAAGCAAACAGGATTTTTTTTTTTTTTTTAACCTGGAAAGAGTAGGGGTTATTGGTGCCAGACTGGCCCAATCTCGATTCCGCAGATCCAGTTGACTCTGGGAACCTACTGAGCTTCAAGGACCCGCCATTCCCCAGGCTGCCACTTTACAAGACAGTTATGAGTATTAAATGAGAGAATATAAGCCTGACAGTGTGGTTATTTGCCCAAAATAGGGTTTGTTGTAGGTTTAACTGGATGCAGGTAAAACAAGAGTAAAGTGGCAAGAGAGAGGTCGTTGTGGGGTTTTAATTTTTTTCCCTTATTTTTGTTAGTTTTGTTAACTTCTCTGACAGTGAGTCATAATTTCCTCGCAGGGTGCTGTAAGGATTCTGTGGCAGCTGATCTCTACAGGACAGAACCTCTCGAGACAGAGGAGTAGGCATCAGTGTCAGCCCTGGGGGAGGATTTCTGAGCAGGCTGGGGGACCCCAGGGGAGGAGCCCCCATCTCAGGCTGAGGGGTCCAGCAAGGCATCCTGGGGGGCCTCCAGAGGGCAGACTAGGATGAAACAAAGCTTCAGGGTCAGCCTTGGTGCCCAATCCAGATTGTCTCTGGTGTGAGGTGGGGTTTGCCTTCTGTTCACACAGCTGCGGTTGTCCAGGTCAGGACACAGAGAGGACGTTCCAGTGGGAAGAATATAGAGTTGGCGTTCTCTGGAGATGAGATGAGGGTCCTGTTCCAGGCGTGCTGTGCTCAGGATGAGGAGGGTGTTGGTGACAACCAGAGTCAGGCACTGGACTTGGCCTGCCGGATGGAGCGCTGGCGCTCTCTGCTGGCCGCACGTCCTGTGCTCACGAGGATGTTGTGATTCTGTTCCACCCTGTCTCTCTGCGAGCCCTTCTCACTCGGTTCCTCTGCTCTCCTCCCGTCTTTTCTCCCCAGTTTGCCATGTGGGTGGACGCTGTCATCTTTGTCTTCAGCTTGGAGGACGAGATAAGTTTCCAGACCGTTTACCACTACTACAGCCGCATGGCCAGCTGCCGGAACACGAACGAGATCCCTCTGGTTCTGGTGGGGACCCAGGGTGAGTGATGTCTGCCTACAGATGCTGTTTAGAGGATCCCAAAGTTGGGCTGTACGTGGCCTCACGGTCTGTATTTTCGGCGTGGAGGAATTGTAAAATGATTTAAAGAAGAGAGAACTTCATCCCGAAGGCTCACTTTCTATACTGAGAATCTACGAAACTGTCGCATTTCCTGATTTGATTCTATGGAGAAATCACTTACTCAGAAACCTCAAAACAAAACATGCACGCAGTCCCCCAAATGCTTTAGAAAAAATAAAATCTATTTTCTGTTCTTTTCTGTATTAGGATATCTTAATTCTCTCTGTTATGTAAAAACAATTTATAAGCAATCAAAAAGGTTATTTATTTTAACTTTCAGTGCACCTTTAAGACAATACTGATTTCTGATATGTAGCAGAGTCTTATTTATTCTGCTCTATTTGTTAATGTCTTATAACCCGTATCTTATTTTTAATACAGCAGATCCCTGAGAGAGTATAGAATCATACCGTATGGGCACGTTTCTTGTTTTCTTCTAGGTCACTTAAAACTTGGTCTCTTAGTGAAGTGGCATGACTTAAAGTGTGCTTGTTCTTGGTCACAGATTCATTGATATACGGGTGTCCACCATTGGGGTCTTAACTAAGAGTCACACAGAATGTTTTTAAAAATCAGGTAAAGTTTAACTTCAAAATTGCTTAGTCAGAAAAATGGGCAACTTAAATAATCATGTCAAGAAAAACTGGATTATCCCTTCATTTTTTGGTTCATATACTGTTTTTGCTTATTTCTTTAGAATTAGCACATCTGGTGTGCCCTCCCATGCCCTGATATAAGACTTTTCCAGATGAGAAATTAGCCGTGTTGAACAAGAGGACTGGTTAGCCGTAGGCGTCGCACCAGGTCTAGTATGATAGAGAGCTCAGGTCGGGTAACCGGCTGCTTTGGCAGGAATCTGCACAGATAAGGCCGATTCATGGAGTGGATGTGTGTGCTGGGAGAAATAAAGTAGCGTGGAATAAGCTAAAAGAATTTTCTCAGTGTGCTAGATGAAAAATGTTAGAGTTGGGTTTTCATGGAGACCACCCCCCAATTTTTTTTTAGCAAACATGTAATGGCCAGTGGTCTCATTACAAACCTTCAGAGCAACAGGTGGATTTAGCCTAAAACCAAACAGAAGAGAGGTTCTTTATGCCTATGGCGCCCTCTAGTGGTCACCAGGCAACACGTGCACACCAATAACAAGTTCTTGGTTCTTGTTCTAATATACAGAGTTGGCATTTTTGCGTTGCCATCTTGAAAATTCTTAACAAATAGTGTTTTATAGTGGGTAGGTCATCTGAAGCAGACCCTGCGTAAAGCTGCCTTGAAGCTGAACCGATTCATTTCCAATAAGCTGCTTTTCCTGCAGACCCAGGGTATTTCTGAGCCAAGTCAGAGATTGTGTGGGCGTCTCCTTACGAGCTGCCTGAGTTCAGGGGTTTGTGTTTAGGACTCAGAATGCCTTTGTGCTGCAGACTCTCTGTGATAAATGGTGGGTAAGTTTTCAGGCTAGGTCAGAAGGTTATGCTTGATTTTACTTACATGCCAGTGGTCTTGGTAGTGGGGAGTGGAGTGGGGTGTCTGAGGCCACTCAGACCTGGCGTCGCTGCTCTGTGACCTTGACTGCTGCCTCCTGGGCGCTGGGGGGTCAGACGGAGGAATCCCTGGAAGGCACTTAGGGCATCCACGGGCACTCAGTGTCGAGTAAGTGGTTGCTTTGCTCCTTGTATTTCAGTATACGGCCAGTTTCACTGAGGTCCTGCCTGGGGTGCCAGAAGCTTGTCTCCCTCTGCCCAGTCCTTGGAGATAAGCATGGTCCTCTGTTTCTCCTGCCCCAGCTGAAAGAGGGCACATCTACGCCTCCCACCAGGATGGTGCACGCGTCTGTGGAAGAGGCCTGTGGATGGCTCCGTAGAGGCTCTGGGGAGCCCTGACGCGGTCTCTGAGTGGAAGAACCTACCCCCATTTATTCCCACTAGTTTGATAAGCATTTTTTGATTGAGTGCAGTACGCTTGGGAAGGCCACAGGTGAGGAGCATCTGAGCCAGGGAGCACGGGTGGTGAGGATTTCTTGGCTGTCTCCTCCATTCACTTGTGATACACTGTTCATGCATCAGTGTAGCCACGCGCCCGCTGGGCAGGACAGGAGTGCTGTCAGTTAGGGACGTTCCTCACCTGAGAGATGCTCTGGGTCCTTAACGAGACCTCTAATTCCCAGAGCACCCTCAAAGCCTCAACGGTAAGAAGGTGGTGTGAGTGTGGGCTTCTGGAGCGTTCCACTCTCAGGTACCCGTTAACTGCTTGCAGACTCAAGTTCTGTGAAGTCTTTGTGTTGTCCTGCTTTTGCATGAGCTTCCCAGAACCTCGGAGATAAAAGGCAGCTCAGGTCATAGGTGAGGGAATCTGAAATTCCCTCCCAGCTGGTTGGGGCTGGCGGCCTCAAGGGAGGTGGTGAGAGAGTGGGAAAGAAGAAGAATTATGTTCACTCCTTAAGGCCACCTGGCATGTGGTGCGGCCTCGCCGAGGGTGGGAGGAGCGACTCTGCGAGATGTGATCTCTTCCCTGGTGGGAGCAGCGTGGATGTTCACAAGTGGACGAGACGTTTCTGAATGAGGCGATTATGAAATGTTTGTCAATCAGGTTCTGTTTTAAAGGCTTGCAGATGAACTTGATTTGAGGGAGAAGCGTGAGCTATAAAAGGATGCAGAAGCACAAGGAGGATGAAAACAAGGCTAGTATAGCACTGGAATGCAGAGTGCAGTGGAGCAGGTCCGTGTCTGTGACGTGACAGTGCAGCTGGGGAGTCGAGACAGGACAGAAGCAGAGTGGGCCTCCCACCGAGGAACGAGGGGCCGAGAAATTGTGGGGGCCCAGGTCAGGAGAAGTTTAAACTTCTTTGACTCTTGGTGGCCTGTATTTTCCAAATTACACAAGAATATTGAAAAATTATGGATTTCTAACTTTTCTCCTACTCTTTTCTTAAAAGATGTTTATACCTTTAAAAAATGCTTCTTTTCTTTAAGTGTTGTGAGATACAAGTCAAATTTATTAATCTGTAAGACAAGAAGACAGGAGAAGATGTTCGTTAAAGAAATCCCACTAACAGGCCTTGTCAGAGAATGTTCTAGAACATCTTTTGAGGTGGCTTGGGTGATTGTCAGTGAAAGAGTCCTGAATCATAGAGTTAGTTTCCCTTAGATTAATTCAGAACTATCAGTTCAAACCTATCCCATGGGGCTAAAAAAATAAGGAACAAGGTAGGAAAAGAGAGGGAAAAAATGAATAAATCATTCCCGCCAGATGCCACTTTTTGTATACTTAAAGAATAGAGTGTCAAGTGCGCTGCCTGTGCAAAAATAAACAAAATTTGAAGGGTTGTCGCTATCTTGTGTACCTTATGCTGCTATTCCTTTAACTAGTAGAGAAAATCCTGGTGGTGGATTATGTTTAAAGAGCTGTTGAGTGTTTTCTGTAGCAAAGGGGCCTTCAGACCCTCTGAGAAAATGTCACGTTAGAAAGAAGTCCCTGAAAAGTGCCGGTTGTCTCACACCTGGCGCGGTGGCCGGTAACATCCTGGCTCTGTCTGTTCCTGTGAGCCAGACGCTCAGTAACTCAGTAGTAACGGAATGAACAGGATCGGGGCATCATGGACACTGAGCTCAAAAAGGCTGCATTTTCTTTTTCTTAGGAGACTAGTGGCTGGTGCCTGACGTCTCTGTTTTACTGCTCTAACGCCCCCATCTGTGCACAGATCCTGCAGGAGGTGGGGGTATCCCCTGCCCTCCCATCTGAGCCATCTGTGCCCGGGAGAGGTTCTGTTAAGACCTAAGGTGGGGGGCCGGCCCCGTGGCTTAGCGGTTAAGTGCACGCGCTCTGCTACTGGTGGCCCGGGTTCGGATCCCGGGCGCGCACTGATGCACCGCTTGTCTGGCCATGCTGAGGCCGCGTCCCACGTACAGCAACTAGAAGGATGTGCAGCTATGACATACAACTATCTACTGGGGCTTTGGGGAGAAAAAGGGAGAAAAAACAAAAGAAGGAGGATTGGCAATAGATGTTAGCTCAGGGCTGATCTTCCTCACACACAAAAAAAAAAAGCTTTAAAAAAAAAAAAAGACCTAAGGTGGCTCATACACTTGTGCTCATGGTGCCCAGTGCCTCCCCTCGCCTCCCACTCCTGCCCTCACCCTCCAGTCTGCATTAGACACAGCAGGTGCTCAGATGCTCTCCCCCCAGGTAGGGGCTGGTCCCCCCACCTCCTGCAGGTGAGGCTTCCCTGAATATGACACTGGGCACACTGGTCTCGTAACCCCTTCCCTGCCTGACTCGGCTCTTCTCGCCATCCTACATTCTAGTCATTCCTCACTCCTGTCTTATTTTCTGCCTCTCTCCTCGGCCAACTAGAAAATTCTCTCCGTGGGAGTGCAGATTTTGTCTGTCCTGTGCACTGGGTATCCTTGTGCCTAGAGCAGGACCAGACACCTAAGGGGGCTCTGTGAACATGCGTTGAGTGGGTGAATGGCCACACCTGGCGGAACAATGCTGATACAGTCGTGCGCCACATAACAACATTTAAGTCAATGACGGACCGCATATATGACGGTGCTCCCATAAGATTAGTACCACGTAGTCTAGGTATGTAGTAGGCTGTACCATCTAGGTTTGTGTAGGTACACTCCATGATGTTCGCATAATGATGAAATTGCCTGACGGTGCGTTTCTGAGAACATATCCCCATTATTAAGTGGCCCATGACTGTATGCAGGATGCATTTAGCTGGGCGCTTTGTGCAGAGAAGCTCACCTGCAAATAGTGACTGTGGGTTTTTTTCTTTTTTAAAATATTTTCCTCTGGAGCCACATTTAACTCTTACTCCTACCTTCTGGTCTTTCTGGACATTCTCTTATTTCAATTTCAGAAGCAGGATCTTCTGAAACAGGCTTCTACTAATGAATAACTATTCTGGGGTCTGAGATTATTGTTTTGGGGTCAGCTATGTTTTAACAACTCCGGGTTCTTAAAAGAATTAGGTCCCTGCTGAGTAAGGTGCCAGTTTTGAGCTTCCTGGGGACCTTTGGTTGCGGGAGGTGATCAGAGGTGCTTGTGGTCACCACGTTGCTCCTCTTTGTCCGTCTGCTCCAGATGCCATAAGTTCCACCAACCCGCGGGTCATCGATGACGCCAGGGCGCGGAAGCTCTCCAGCGACCTGAAGAGGTGTACATACTACGAGACGTGTGCCACGTACGGGCTCAACGTGGAGAGGGTCTTCCAGGACGGTAAATACCCACTGCTGTGCATACAGCATCCCTTTGCCCTACAGCAGGTCACTCGTCCACATGGATGACAGAAACTCATCATTCCACGCATGAGCATTAGTCTGAGCACTGCATTTGAGAGTGATTCTCAATTCTGTGCTGTTTCAAGTGGTAGGTTCACAAGACGCACTAAACATCCACTCTAAAGCAATCCTAGAGCGAATTCTGTGTGTCACAATATATGACCTTTTTGGGTACAGGATGAAACATTTCTCGAACTATTTATGCACATGATCTGTCCAACTTACGCATGCACCATTTCTTCCTCACTGTAGTGGCTCATTTCATTCTTAATTCAAGCCCATCTTTGGAAAAAAGGCTTAAGTATTTCATTTTAGGCTTTGAGGAGAATAAACTGAAAAAAGAGAGTCAAGTTTGGCCAAAAATAATCACATATGAGGACTCATGGCTGAGAGCAAGCACCTGCACATAGGAGTCATTTCCATGTCATTGCATTCATTGTTGATCGCCCACCTCCAGGAAGGTCACACAGGAAGTTCTCCTGGAGGAGCGTAAGGTTCCACAAGGATAAACATTCACATACATGATTGTAATGCCAAGGTCAGGTTGGGAGAGAGGGGAGAGGGACAGAGGAAGATGTGTGGGAGATGGTGGGAGGAAGGGGTGGTCTCTAGCCTGGAGGGGTCAGGAGGGTCTGGGGTTAAGTGACTCTTTCAGCATTGAAGACCTGGGAGAAGGATGCTCCCGGCAAAGGGTCCCCTTTCCGGTGGGAGTCAAGGGAAATAAATCCTTCTGGTTAAATCTGGTTTAGATGCACCTTCACAGCCCCCTGCTCTGGTGCCAAGGGGACTGAGGGCAGAGCAGGGTGGCGGGAGTGGTCTCTTCAGAGCTGCTCCGAGGTCATTGAGGCCTTGCTGTGCACCAACCCTGAGGAAAACTTGTTACTACTAGTACACATAGTGATTACAGGACTGCTCTCAGTACTTCCCCACACTGGGCAATGTGTGCTTTTCTTTTCAATGTCCAAATTAGTTTTCAGGTGAAATTGTAGGAATTCCACACTTGCACCATTTTATTAAATTTTGAAGATTGCATCCATTTTCAAACTTTGCATTTTCTTCCCTTTTCCTTAACAGCCAGGTCCTTTTCTAAGTTGTCATCTCTTGCCTCCTATCTACCTCACAGATGATTATCAGTCTTTCTATTTTTCAGCACATTATCCTTTTTACTCCTTTATACCTCATATTTCTTGCTACCTTGTCCAATGCCAATTCTGAAGCAGCTCGGGATTTCGCTGAGAAACAGTACAAAGTCGCTGGGGATCTGCATTACATCCCTGTCTTCCTTCCTGTCACAGTTACACAGCCTCCTCCGACAATGCCATCATACTACTGAGTAGCAAACCCCCATTTAAAACACGTGCTGGGCCCGTGTTCGTAGCTCCTTGAATGTTGGTGAGGCCGTGAAGAATTAGGCAAGGAAGCACATGGAGTTCTTCAGGGTTCTAACCGGGCACAGTCACTGTTTGCCATTGAATAGCCGTGTGAATAACCCTGTGAATGTTAAAGTGGAGTATTTCAAACAAAGGTCCCCCAAATAGGGCTCACTGCCTGTTTTTATAAATAGACTTTTCTTGGAACATAGCTATGCCGTTTACAGGCCGTGGGGGATACAGGCCCCGCCGCTCTTGGTTGTCACCCCAGAGCTGAGTCAGTGCAACAGAGACCTCATGGCCCACAGAGCCTGACATGTTACTCTCCGGCCCTCTACATCCTGATGCAAGCAGTTGGAATTGGGTTGCAAGGATGAGTTTATTCTGCACAATGATAGCTTTACTTGTGCATTTACCGTGGTTAGCAAACGTGAACTTTCCATAAATAAATGAGCTCATCTTATAAGTAATCACCGTAAGAAGTAATACCGGGGGATGCCACGGTCATGGAGCTTCCCTGCCCGGGGTCTGGAGCGTGTGAGGCAGTGGACAGGCAGTGGCCTGTGTGCTGGTGGTGCTTCACTGTCGTCCTTAGGGTGGAGCAGGCGAGGGGAGAGCAGGGATCTTTCCAGATGTCATTATATTAAAATATTAAAGTGTTCCCATTGCTGTGATAGCTCATGTGGTGGCTCCTCAAACAACGGTTTGACTGGTGCAGCACATTATACTCTTAGTGTAATTTTCACAGGCTTTGGAGATTTTAGTACATTTTGTTGTTTCTTATTTTAGAAATAATACGTTCCCATTAAATATTTGGATTGTACAGAGTCAGAAAAGGAAATTATACCTGTGATACTACAATTTCTGCAGCTATTGTGATGATTTCATCCTTAAAATATTTTTTTATTTCATATGAAGGTAAGTTGTAAAAATAAAATTAGGGTTACTCTGCATATTTTATAGGGTAATTACGTGGTATATATTTGTTAAATCGTAGCCTCTTTAATCGTTAGTGGTCACAGCAGGTGCAAACCGAGTGGGGACTGTACTCAGTGCTTAGAAATCATTAACACTAACAGTCCATTTTCATCCTCAAGGAAAAAGAACTTGTAAGGTTTAGAGTTAAAGAAATCGAGGTTCAGAAAAGTTAACATAATGTGACTAAAGGCACTTCCCCTGGATTAGACCCCTGTTTTGGGTCCAAGAGCTTAGAACCTTAGCCATTTTGTCATTAACATGGAAGTGATGTGGGTCCCGTCCACTTACCTGGGGAAGCTGGGCGGAGGGCAAGTCCACTGTGCTGGTTTGCTGCCCGCTCACGGACTTGGTTTATTTGGAGTTCTCTATTGACTTTCAGGCTCCTCTATGCCTTACGGCTTACTTTTATTTATGTACTTTTTTATATATTTGCATTGTAGAAGGAGAGAATAAAGAAAAAGCATATCATTTCTATGTAACATTTAGCTTATCAACAAAAGAAGAAAACAGCCCAGGTGTGTCACACCAGAGCCGACTTCCACCTGCCCCTGCAGACCAAGCTCCTCGTCGGCCGGCCACCCAGGTTTATTTTTTAAGAGACCAGGGACTTGAGGCTTTGCTTCTTTAACTTGTGACTTCTTAGTGTCCTGAAACAGGAGAAAAATTGTGAAACGAATGGAGAAACATGTCTGTTTACTTTTCTCTTATTGGTTAGTTGTCAAATGGCTGTTGGACAGTAATTCAGGAGGGAGGTTCTTTGTTGCCATCAGGAGTATCAGGAGGCGGGGAAGTAGGTTGGTTCATTCATTCATTCATTCATTCGAGCACCACCTTTCCACACGCGCTGCCTCTGGTTAGGGGTAGAGATACAGTGGTGGAGCCCCTGCCTTGGTGAAGTGAAGTCCGGTAGGGAGGATAAACACAGAACCATCACTCCGAGATGTAAGCGTGCATCTTGCCTGGGGGTGGAGAAGAAGTGTGATGGACAAGATTGCTTTCTGTTGCCCCCTCTCAGCAGTCTGGGATCATCTTCCCTTGCTGAGTTGGTGTGGCTTGTGGAGCAGAACCATCTGGCCTGGTAGGGGTTCCTGTAAATAAGACTCCTCTTTTGAGAATTAATACACTGTTTGTACTTGATCTTTGCAGCTGAATCTGACTTGAGACCTGGTTGCCCATCTGCTTGTCTCGATTTCCAGAGGAGCCCTGCAGAGAGTTCAGGGGCCCCAGCAGGCTGGACGCAGGGAATTGAGGCAGCTGTGAGCTGCACAGGGCCCACCCTCTGTGTCCCTCAGTCTGTCCGATTCTGTGCAGTTCTGTTTGCTGCTCTCTGTGTCTGGGAGATTAACTATAGGCTTTTGTATTTTTAACATTATAATGGTGAGTTCTGTTTGGCATTAAGTTTTTTTTTTTTTTTTGTGAGGAATACTGGCCCTGGGCTAACATCTGGGCCTATCTTCCTCCACTTTATGTGGGTCGCTGCCACAGCATGGCCTGACAAGCGGTGCCTTGGTGCGCACCCAGGATCCGAACCTGGGCCGCCAGCAGCAGAGCGCTCGCACTTAACTGCTATGCCACAGGGCCGGCCCTGGCATTAAGTTTTTTGGAAGTCCCTGGTCATTTGCTCTCTTAGGGCCTGGATACATGAAGAGACAGGATGACAGAAAAATAAAGTTAATTCTCTGCAGACATTATTTCCCTGGTGCTGTGATTTTTTTTAAAAAGAGAAGTTTCTCTCAGTCTCTGTAAAGGAACCAACTCTGAGTGGCGGAAGCCCTTGCCCTGAGCATGTCTTCCATGGCATTTTAGTCCAGTCGTTGGGTAGGTAAAGGAGGGTAGTGTTGGTGATGGGACTGTTCAACCTACATGTTCAGAGATAACCTAAAATAATTATAACTTGGTGACAAAAATAAACTCTTCCCCCAGAAGACCAAGCATTGCTTAAAGGTAGCAAAATGTCATTTGTGTGTAGGTGGTGAAAGGGTCCCTTGGAGCATTACATGTGCCATCTTGGGAACAAGAAAATGGCTCTGCCCCCTAGTCTTCAAGATGGAGCATTGGAGATTTTAGTTCCCTGCAGTTGGATTTTGGAAATTGTGAATTTTTAGTGTCTTTTCAAACACTTTTAAATTTCTCATGTACATTGAGTGTCTGTGTTCGAAGCTTGTTTTGCCTCCAGTGACAGTGACGTATAATGGATGCATGATGAGCGGTGTGATTTGTGTCACAGTATAGTTACCTTATTCAACCTAAGGACGAGGGAGAATCAGGTTTTTGTTTGTTTTGGCATCTTATGGAATAGAGCCAATGGACTCCCTAAGTTTTGGGGAGTATATTTTATAATTTTGGTATCTGACTTGTATGGGATACTTTAAAGATCCCTGATACCCAAAGAAGAGTGGTTTCCCTTCATACAGAATGAGGAGCAGAAACAGACGGTGGTACCAAAACATTGTTTTAATTTTCCCTATATTGGCTACTTAATGAGCTTTCCCTGTCTGTTTCCTGGAATGAGCTGGTAGAGATTTATCTGAATTGTGAACAGTACTGTTTTATATGTGAGCTGTTGATTATGCATCCCAGTGTCAGTGGC